AGAACCAAAGCACACACGAAAGTCAAATAGTATCAAGTAAAATAAAATTAATAAATGTAAAGGCGTTATAACGCGAATAAGAAATTGTTCTCATTGTATGGAACGCCATAGGTGCCTCATGTTATTACATTTCTTTTTATCTTGCCCAGAAAACGTCTTATTATGTCAAATATAAGCGTTGTAATGCCATTGTCATTTGTCGACTTGTCTTAACATCGCCTTATTATACCTAACAGTAGTCTTATCTCTTTAAAATGTGATGTTGACTTGTGCTAAGATTGTTTAATTATTTCATTCAAACAGTAGTGTTATCATGTCAAAATGTCGTTTTGACTTGTCTGAAATGTGTCATTTTATGTCAACTAGTCGCGCTATTTGGTAAAATTGTGGAGCTGTTTTTTTTTTTTTTTTTTTTTTTTTTTCAAAAGACTGTCTGATCATTTGAAACAGTAGCGTTCCCTTGTCGAAATTTGGTGTTGACTTGTAAAAGCACAGCTTTATTTTATCAAACTGCCATGTTATTTGTCAAAATACGGTGTTTAAATGCCTTAACAGTGTCTTATTGTGTCAAACAACTGTATTAATTTGCCAATGTACAATACTGAAATGTCTTTTTATATCAAATATTCGATTACCTTGCCGAAATGGGGGTGTTGACTGGGCTAAATCATGCCTTATTATGATAAAATGTATGTTATTTTGTCAAAAAGCTTTTTTGACCGATTAAAACTCAGTCTTACAAAGTCAAAACATTTGCGGTATCTTGTCGAAATGTGGTAATGACTTGTCTAATCTCTTTCTTATAATTTAAAACAGAAGTGTTATATTGTCGAAATTTGATGTTTTCTTTTTTTTATTATGTCTGATAATTGTGTAAATTTGATCAAATTTAGTTCTGTCTTAAGAAAGCGCTGTCTGATATTGCTAAACTGTCCAATTACCTTTTTTGATCTATCTTCTATCGCTCCGCGCGGGCTCTTGTCACGTGATACTAAATTTTGACAACATCGCATCTGGACAGGATAACACGATTATCTGACATAATGAGACGGCATTTTGACATGTTAACGTCATAAACTGGCAAGCCAACGCCACTGTATTACATAATGATACTGTGTTTCAACAAGTGAACACCACATTTGAAAAAAAAGATACTTCGCCATAAAAGGACGATGTTTATCAAAAATAACACCGAATTTTGACAAAATAAAATGACACTTTGACAAAAAGATGGTAATTTTAGGCAAGTCATCACCACGTTTCGACAAGATGATATGACTATTTGACATAATAAGACGAAGACAGACAAGTTGAATCTGCATTTGGACATAATAGCATGACAGTTTGATAAATTAATATAGCGTTTTAGCAGTTCATAACCATAATTTTTGTAAAGATACCACCATTATTTCACATAATAAGACGGTGTTTAGGCCGGTTAACATAAAGTTGTTTGGATAAAATAGCACAGCGATCTGAGAAAATAAGGCAGTATTTAGACATGTCAATACCATCTTTCGACAAGTAAACAATACTGTTTGACATAATAAAATTACGTTTACACAAACAAACAAAATTTATTGGCAAGTCAACATTAGTATTTCACATAATAAGTATATTTTTAGACATGATAACAACAGTTTTAGACAGGACAGCATGCTATTTTGGCACAATTAGACAGAATAACACCACCTCATACAAAGCAACAAAACAGTTTGACAAAACAGGACAGCACTTAGCCAGGTCAATATAACGGTTTAACAAGATATCATTTAAACAAGTCTTTGTTCAGACATAATGAAATCTTAATTCGAACAGATGGTGTGCATGTTAGACATATTAAGAATTCCATTCGGCATGTTAACACCGGATTTGCACATGATAACATGACGTTTTGAAATAATAAGACAGTGTTTAGACAAGTCAGCACTACGTTTTGACAAGATAAAATTAATATTTGACGTAATAAGACTTCGTTAAGACAGGTTCCCATAAAATGTTGGCAAGCCAACACTTCTGTTATACATATTAAGGCGCTTTTAGGGAAAAATAAAACGAAATGTAACAACATGAGGCAGCTGTGGCGTTCCATATCATTGACTATAAACCTTTCTTATTGATATATTAGATAAGTTTAGTAGTTCGGCTTTTTTAAACAATAAATCGCACAGGGCTTCCATGCATCTCGTTTTATTAAGTATGGAACCGAAACTCATTCAATATTTCTTTATTTATTGGATATTAAAATAATAAATCGATACAGCTTAAAGTTCATAAATATGACGGTAAGGGCAAAATCACGGAATGGGCGTCCGGAAAACTTTAGAATTCTTAATATAGTTCTTTGTAGAAATAAGTCAATAAATCAATGCTAAAACCATTACTTTGCTCCAGACAACAAGCTTAAACCAGTATATCTAATATCATCGCTTGGTGGGATATTAAATGGTATACAGATGTATCTTATTAAGTATGTATCAACGACAAAAACGTGCTGTTTCCATAATTTTAAGGTAGATTCCCAAACGAGTGGTAACATAGAATGTTTCACATGAAATAAAATGTTCCGTAACAAAATAAAATGCTGCTGTTTTAAATATATTTTTTATCGTTAAGCGGTGATTTTTAGACTGTGTTAATCGCTCTTAAGGTGAAATCCAAATTTATTCCATTCATACAAATATTTTGAATTACACTTCAAAAAAATGTTGTAAAAAAATTGAAAAAATGTTAAATGTCAGAGGATACCAGAAAAGCAAGTGAATGAACATCATTTGGGGGCAAACATTGTTCATAATTATGATTTGATATATAACTCGGCTCTTTCCAATGGTTTTGTATTAAATGTCAAAAAGTCACAAAGCGTGAAATTAATTCGTTGAATTGATAGAAAATTGACAGAGCTCCATGTCCAGGTCATTTTCTTGTGTAGATTAATCAATTATTTACACTTTATACAAGTAAGCCATGTATAAAACCGGTATTCAGTCCGACGAAAAAACAAGAACACATACTTGGTTTTCCTTGTGCCAGTCTCATGTATGACAGCCGTGCAATGCATTTTACAGTCAAAACCCTCCCAAGCACCGTTTAAACAATAAAGCCCACAATTTTGGCATACACGAAACATGAAACAGTAAATACGTATAAACTGATGTACGATGATAAATTTACAAATCTTAAAGTCTTTGCTGATTTTATTTCAAGTTTTGTGTTACAAAATCTCGTGATATAATTATATGATTATATGACAAGTATTATATTACAAGTGGTAAATGCAGCTGCGTGATAAATACATGTTACTATCGCAGGTGTCTGGGAGGTTGTTAAAAACATTGAATATAAATATCTTCTACATTTCAGCAATCTCTGACAATTATCATGCTGAAATTAAACGTTTAAGTACTAGCAACGACAGACATTTATATTAATCCTATACATGTGATCAATTTTTATTCTGGAGCTCATGCATTATTTATATTCAATAGTTAATCATATCCAATAATCCATTTTATGAATAAATCACCGCTATTTAATACTCAACTTATTCAATGATATTTAAGAGTGACAAAAAGACCAGGGAATATGTCCTAGGTCCCTAAATGAATATTGAAATTAAATAAAGTGTGACAATAAAATATTTTAGGTATGAGGGCATAGAATTCGTTTCATTTTAAAACCATAGCTGTCATATGGGACAATTACTGAAGGCAGGATGGTCCCACCCTTTATTTTTACATCAAAATAACTGATTACGAATTTATCTGGTTTTTAACTATTTTTATTATACACATAAACATTGAGAATTCAAAGAATTAATTTTCTTTATTTGCTTTATAATTGGAAGTCAATGGTTGCTTCAATATCAATTAATATACACAATATTATTTTACGATATTCGATTATTTTAATCGTGATTTTTTTCTCTCAACTTAAGCTTTTTTAAAATAGATACAGTGTAATGAATGATGCACTACAATCGGATGCGTTTAACTTCATTTCAGCTGAACTATATTTAAAAGCGGAGGGATATCATGTATCCCAAATGCATGGGGATTTACTCATGAATGTTATTATAACTACACGTTTAAAAATAAGTGCGCAGTTCTTTTTTTCTGAATATTCTTTATATTGACGTCATAAAAAGAATGAACATGAGAAAGTGAAAGAATTTATGCAACAGAAATCGTTAGAATTTGATTTTAAGATTTACAGTTGAAAAAGACCATGGGTTAAGTAGAAAAATTACTAGTATTTCTTTAACATAACTAATTGTCGGGATTTGCCTCGGGCAAGTGATTATACGTTCGACTAACGCCAGCGACTATTTCTTCTTTAACTTAAGAAAACCATCCAACTAGCTTACGGGACGTCAATGTTTCTATATAGGTGCCCGCTCCTGCTTGAAATAAAGAACGGAAGGGAAATAAAGAACGGAAGGGAAATAAAGACCGGAAGGGCACCTTAGGTCTTCATTGGAAAGTCGCCATGTGAATTATAATGTGTTGGTGCGACATATAACCCAACCATAAAATAAATAATTGAGTAAAACCATTTAGGAATCATTATTTGAATTTAAAGAGTTCATTTTTGATGAAAAATAAAAATAATAAATACTTATGAAAAAAAAATAAAAATAAAACCTTTTTTTAAAAAATTTCCTCTTCATTTACATGTATTAAAAACAAACAAAGAAAAAAGAAGAAATCGCGTTTTGAAAAATAAGATAAGTATAAAAGAAGGGTTTAAAGGCAGAGAGCTTTTTTCAGAAACACTAAATTATTAAAACGCTTCAGTTTCAAGGATATTTTAAAAGTACGGAAACAAAAACTATAATTTTCGTTACAAACTTTTTATTTTAAGTTTTACCCCAAAGTTTTTTCCCCACTTAAAAATTTTTTAAAAAAAATGTGTTTGTGTTTGGGTTTTAGTGAAGGGGACTAAGAAACAAAATTTTTATAATTTTTCATGTATTCGTTAAATAAGACAAAAATATTGGAAATTTTCTCAAATACGTTACGTTTGTTGTTGTATTTTCTGCAATGTCGTTTGCTGACGCAACTCTGAGGAAAAGATTAACAATGGTCGAAAAACGAATCGGGTTTGTAGAAACGCGTATGAATAATGACAACGAACTGGCGAATGCAATGTTCACAACCTTGCAACAAAATTACGAAGAGCTAAATAATACTGTCTTACATTTGAAGGAACAGATGTGCCCTAAAATCGAGTTTGTGGAAAAGAAAAGAGAGCACACAAATAAAAAGGAGATTGTTGAAACTGTTAAACATAGCCACATGCTAGTGTCGCTTGGAATCAAAAGTGAGAAAAAATGGACACGGGATCAAGTTGAAAACCTTACTATTCAGTTTAGTAAAGAAACTGGTCGGGTAAACAGACAGTTGTCAGACTTCACAGATCAGATGAATTTACAAAATAGCTTGTTGACCAAAAAATACTCGGAGTTTAAATCTGAACTGATAGGCATGAATAAAGACATAAAATCTGATTTGCAATTGATGGTTACAGATATTGATAACCAAATCCAAGTCAAGCTAAGGCAAATGAACGAAGCAATAATCCAAAATAAGAAGCTTATGGAAAGTCAAACACATTTGATTAATGCACAACAGGCAGAACTTGAAGCTTTAAAGAAAGAACAAGTTGAAGTGAAACATAATCTTAAATCTATCCTGATATGTCCAGAGGGCTGGAAAATGATTTTAGAAAATTGTTATATGTATATACAAGAAAAGAAGACGCTCAGTAAGGCACGTGCCAATTGTGAACTTGTTGGGGGATATTTGGCTGATATTGAAAGTCAAGAGGAGAATTCCCTTATCATTGATAAGCTTGGAATCAATGGTAAATCGTGGATTGGTTATTCTGATGAGGAGGAAGAAAAGCAATGGGTTTCATTCAAAACAGGTCGAACTGCAAGTTTTACGTAAGTAACTACCGGATATGCTTATTTTTTAACTGATAATAATAAATTGTCTATTATTAAAGTTATTAACAGCAAAACTATGTTGTTTCTGCTATCTTAAACAAAATGCTGTTTTAAAGGGTTTTAAGCTAAATAATTAAACAAACATATTTCTTTCATAGGATTATGTTTGTAGTATTCTGTAATCAAAATTATATATACACACATGCACGCACCAACACGCACACGCGCGCGCGCACGCACATGAACCCAACTGTATCTACTTCTTCCGCTAGGGAGAATATACTGAAAGAAAAAAGTTTAGCAAGTTCTGTTAAGAAACAGTGAGATTTCCGTACAACGAATGTATACATGCTTCATTTGGTAATAATGACTAGCTAAATCTAATATGTATTATAGATTTCCTGGAACTTTTACGTTTCTGTGGTTTTGATATGTCAAAACGTGTTAGTAACTGATTAAACGCAGAGAGCATATGCAGCACGAAATCTATCATGTATAAATATCGAATACCAAAGTAATACAACCTTGACAATCTTATACCATAACCAATTTAACCACTTTTATCATTGGAAATTATCAAAATAAACATGCTCCAGGTATGACGTTACTTCGACGTTATATGGCTATTTGCATGCTGACTGGTGGTATGACCGCACAGAAAGTTGCACGGCAATTTCAAGTAAGCGAATCGACTATGTGTCGGCTTAAACTAGATATCAGCTCCTAAGTGATGTATAAGATTTTCCACGTTCGGGATGACCAAGAAAAAAAAACAACGTTGTATTGTTGTGACGTCACGGCAAAATCGATTGATATCAAGTCGATTTCAAGTTGGCTTAACACCTCAGAAATTCTACCGGCCTAGAATTTGTGACAAGACATGCCAATAAAATGACCAAAAATCCATGGAAAGGGCGAACCCTTAAAAAACATAAAGATGATCGGTCGCTTTGGCTTGACTTACCATAGATGGAAAACCCAAACACATTGGGAAATTTAAAGTTCTCTTTAGGAAAGAATAAGATTTTCGCATTAAATTAAACTTTATCGGGTTTTTTTTTTTCTGAAAATGTCGTAAAGTTTTTAAGTCATATCTTTCTAATAGAATACAACTGGTAACGAAAAGTAATTATCAATCTCAGACAATGAAAATAATTTCCGGTGTTCACAAGGTTCAATATTACGTCTCTATTGTTTCTTATATACATAAATAAACATGGCTTTTCATTGGTTGATGTTTGATATAAAAATTATTATTACGCAGGACGATTCCACTCTTTATTTAGTCCGGAGAAAAATAAATAAAAAAAAATGAGAAATAACTTCAACATTTTTTTTAAATGACCTTCCACTTTGATATGAAATCAATGTTTTACAATACAAAAATATTTCCCGTTATGGACTTTTTGGATTATATTGGGTTAAGGAAACACAAGCTACATAAATAATGGTTGTAAATTACAAAACTAATTGCTAAAATCAACAAAGATCTCTGTCAATGGAGCTATTTGAAGATCTTAACTGGTTACCATTCCTTGACATATGTAAATAAAAATCCTCACAAACCCTCCTTTTTATGTATAATTTTCTATTTATTTGCACTACATTGTATTTCAAACAAGGTCATTGTAAAGCAAGACATTTTCTTCATCAAATAAAAATAATGTTAGATGAAATTATATATGAATTAAATGCTGTATTTGTTTTCAGAAACTTCAGAAAAGGGCAACCGGATTCCGGAACTTTACAGAATTGCGTTATAGTTGGATATGATAGCCCAATGATGTATTGGAACGACTGGCCATGCTCCTATAATGAATCATCAATCTGTAAAAAATTTTAACTAATGTAAAGATATTTCATTCAACTGTTTTCAAAATTGTTTAAAAAAAACAACGTTTGTTTCGAGAACATATTTGACAAGGATCGCCCAAGAGAAGGGTCTTTGGGGACCGGTGACCGTCGAAGACCAGAGACATGAAAGGGTCGATTAGTACGTCATCTGTCCGTATCATCCAGACTTTGAAGATGTGTCTTTTAAACGTCTTGATAAGATAGACTACAATGATATTTCCATGTTTACATTTTTTTTTCATTTCTTAATGACACTTACTTTAATATTTTTTCATATACCCATTTGAAACTACCATATGTGCATGAAGATTAGATGTTATTATCAATTTATTTAACAACTGCGTTAATTAACCACTCATAATTATACGGTTTATAGATCACGTGCTCCTCCATGCTTCATAATTGGTCACGTGACCCCCATACCTTAAAATAAGTTGCATACCAATACTCTGCGTGTTCTGCGTGATTGTGTAATGGTCGTTTGTAAATGTTTTAAGAATTTGAAAATTGTAGCTATATAAGGAAAATATATTAGTTCCAAAACAATCAGTAGAGCTGAGTAACAATTAACAATAAAATATGCTGCTGACGCCTGAATTATGTAAAGAGCACTCTTACATTTTTTCAATACTTAATAAAAGTCCTTTGTGCAAGTGAATTGATAAATAAATGAGGGAATTAATGGATCCAGTTTCATTGGCTAATCGCATGGTGCGGTGAATTTTCTTTGACTGTTATACGACAGTAACATGTTTTATTGACAATAACGCAGAGTGCATGTGCGATATCTCAAATAACGCACATTTTTCAGAAAAGGTGTGTGATATGTCAAATAAATCACAGTTATGGAAGTTCACTTGGTTCATGTATTACCGTGACAAAAACACAATGGTCACTTAACTGTACCAAAATTTAGGATAAAAACCCGAATAAATTCAGATTAGGGATAGGTAATGGGGTTCTGGGGATATAGTGTTCAGTTTAAAAAAAGTTTTGTCTGGTTCATGGACGTACTTGCTCTGTTACTACCCTTTTAATCCTTTTTTCCGGCATGTTTTTGGTGCTAAGAGGCACTGCCCCTTTAAATCGTTTGATGAATAGCAATACTTGCGATATTATTCATTTCTAGTCCCCGAGAAATGTAAGTCCCCGAGAAATAATCAATAATCGTTATTGTTGAAATTACAATAACAACAACAACAACAACAATAATAAATTATTTTTTTTTACCAAGAAAAAGTGCTTTTAGCTCATCTGACCACGAAGTGGTCAAGGTGAGGTATAGTGGTAGATCTATGTCTGGCGTCGTGTGTTGTCAACATTGAGATTGTCACAGTTTTGGTTGGATCATAATCAAACTTTGTCAGAATGTTTGTGTTGATGAAATAAAGGTCGGGTTCGAATATGGGGTAGTTCGGGTCAAAAGTAGGCAACAAGAGCTAAAAATAAAAAATAAATGTGTTTAACCTCTAGTGGCTACTGTTTTGATTCAAATATCCTGAAATATTGTTTTGATGATTTCTAGGTCAAGTTCAAATATGGGTTATCTAGGATGAAAAACTTGATCACACAGCCCAAATATAAAAAACCCTCGTTAACACTCTAGAGGCTACTGTTATAATTCAAATATCCTGAAAATTTGTCAGAAAGGTTGTTTTAGTGATTTCTAGGTCAAGGTTGCATATGGTTAACCTGGGGTCGAAAGCTAGGTCCCACAGCCCCAATATGGAAAATATTGTTAGCACACAGACTCTTGAGACTACTGTTTTGTTCAATATAGTATTGAAATTAATCAGAAAGGTTTTTTAAGTGATGTCTAAGTCAAGTTCGAACATGGGTTACCTTGGATCAAAAACTAGGTCACTCAGCCCAAATATGGAAAATCTTGTTTACACACTAGGGGCTATTGACCCAGTCAAACTATCCTGCAAATTGGTCAGATAGTTTGTTTCAATTATTTTTAGGTCAAATTCGAATATTGGTCATCTGTGGTCCAAAACAAGGTCACACGGCCGAATAACGAAAAACGTTGTTAACACACTAGGGCCTACTGTTTCAGTCTATTTTTTTCTAGAAATTGGTGAAATGTTATGATGATTTTAAAGTCAAGTTGAATATGGGTTACCTGGGCTCAAAAACTTGATCACACAGCCCAAATATGGAAAAACCTTGTTAACATTATACTGTTCCAGTCAAAATGTTCTGAAAATTGGGACTGAGCCTTCAAAATCAGGTGAGTGATATAAGGGCCATCATGTAGGGTCGTTCGAATCCCTTCAGAGAATTCGGATTCTTACATGTTATGAAACTTTGCAGCTTGCTTACAACCCGTGCTTCAGATAAAGCATGACTTTAGGCGACGTTCCAGCTTTAATGATGAGGGAGGACCTCAGGTGCTCCTTTGGGCATTGTATAAGGTACAAGCTGGCACCTGAGTAGGATCACCAACATTCTGTTAGCTAACTGGATATCTTTTTCACATGAAATAACTGAAAGCCGATTCAAAAGGGATTCGAACTCACTGTGGCTGTTCCATGTTAGCAACAATAACCACTTGGACACAAATGCATTCAATGACCTTTTAGTTTGTGATAACAAACTATTCTGATAGTAATGTATACGCTTTTCTTATATGAACATGCTGTAAATTTAAATAGTGTGCATATCTGTACATATCATATGTTTTGCTCTTCATTATTGGAGGAAATCAAGGAATATATTTATCTACTTTTCAGATTCATTACTTTTCGTTCATCTGAAATAATTTGGAATCGTTTCGCTCATTTATACTTTGGAAACCTTTTGGTTAATTTATACTTTAGAAACCTTTTCGTTTATCTATACTTTGAGAGCCTTTTCGTTTATATTTTGGAAACAACCTTTTCGTTTATCTATACTTTGAGAACCTTTTCGTGTAATCATGATACTAGTGTTTTACATAATCTGATATTAGTAGAAGCAATGGAGCAAGTCCCCTGTGAATATCAAATTATTTTAAATGTCAAAACGAATTGTTTCAAGTAACAGCAGCTCAAAATTAAGGATATAACTAATTCATAGCCTTTACTTTGTTTGCCGATGGCGCCAAGCACTGTTAATGTCATACAATTCAATGGAAATGATTATTCTATGATGATAGTCCAAAGTCATCGCGATTTTAATACCATATATTTCGTTACATTGAACATGAAACAAATTATTTTCACCCAGAAAAAATCTATAATTTTTGTAACAGAATACATGTATATACTATTTTCATCGAGCATTTCCGCAGAATAACGCTGTCGGAATTTAAATTGATTATTATGTTTTATTGTCAATAGCGAACATTTTTTTCCAAGGATAAGACGTCGGGATTTCAAAATCATGTATTATTAAAACTTCGTTCAATTGGACATTATTATAATGTAGAAAGAAGGCCTTTTCATCTGATGAATTCATTTAACCGTTTACGTTTACCGACCGGAACCGGAAATGGCTAACCTTTGCCACCAATATAAAGCCACTGCAGTCTGTTCAGGCTCAATACTTTTGATAGTTTTTTTAATTTAATGTCATGAATTATTAAATAAATACATATCAATTGCACAACATATAAAATCACCCGGCCTAATGGGCCTACAAGTCATCAATTTTTATAAGCAATTGTACTATTATAAGCATGAAAATGTGTTTTTAAACTTTAAACATACACTTGTATGTTTGTAATTTTAAGTCTAGAAACAGATGCAAAACATTTCCACAAATGCAAATTACCAAAGAAATACAAATACATCGCTTATAATACACAGTATATTATAATCTTTAGTAGTTACGCATTTCAATAAAATGAACTAGAAGATTATTTATATTAAAAGGTAAATTGCACACATGATTTATGACTAAAGTCTGTTTTTTCGTTTTATGTAAGTCTGAATAATATTAATTAAGTATGGAACTGAAACTCATTTAATATTTCTTTATCTATAGGATATTAAAATAATAAATCGATACAGCTTAACGTTCATAAATATGACGGTAAGAATGCGCGTCCGGTAAAACTTTAGACTTCTTAATATGGTTCATTGTAGAAATAAGTCAATAAATCAATGCTTAAACCATTACTTTACTTCACAAAACAAACTTAAACCAGTATATCTAATATCTTGGCTTGGTGGGATATTAAAGGGTATACAGATGTATCTCAACAAGTATTTTTTATTAAATCAATAAACGACAACATTGTGCTGTTTCCATAATTTTAAGGTACATGTAGATTCCTAAACGAGTGGTAACATAGAATGTTTCTGTTATTTAAACAACATGAAATAAAATGTTCCGTAACAAAATAAAATGCTGCTGTTTAAGATATGTTTTGTTACCGTTAAGCGGTGATTTTAAAACTGCGTCATACGCTCTTAATGTAAAATCCAAATATATTTCTTCCATACAACCCATTGGAATGATACTTCAAAAAATGTTGTAAATTGCAGGTAAATTTATACGCTTTAATGTGTAATTGAATATAGTAATTTTTTTTAAATGCATAAATGTCAGAGGATGCCAAAAAAGCAAGTGAATGAATATCAATGGGCAAACATTGTTATTTATTATGATTTGATACATAACTCGGTTCATTCCAATGGTTTTGTATTGAATGTCATCAAGTCATAAAGCGTGAAATGATTTCGTTGAATTGTTAGAAAATTGACAGAGATCCATGTTAAGGTCATTTTCTTGAGTACATTAATCAATTATTTACACTTTATACAAGTAAGCCATGTATTAAACCGGTATTCCTTCCGATACAAAACCAAGAACACAAACTTGGTTTTCCTTGTGCCAGTCTGATGTATGACAGCCGGGCCATGCATTTTACAGTCAAAACAAACCCTAGCACCGTTTGAAGAGGAAAGCCCACAATTTTGACATACGCGAAACATAAAACAGTAAATACGTATAAACTGATGAGCGAGGATGAATTGACAAATCTTAAAGTATTTGCTGATTTTATTTCAAGTTTTGTGTTACTAAATCTCGTGATATAAATGTATATAATTATATGATTACATGACAAGTTTTATCTATCAGTGGTAAATGCAGCTACGTGATAAATACATGTTAATATAGCAGGTGTCTTCGAGGTTGTTAAATACATTGAATATAAATATCTTCTACATTTCAGCAATCTCTGACAATTATCATGCTGAAATTAAACGTTTAAGTACTAGCAACGACAGACATTTATATTAATCCTATACATGTGATCAATTTTTATTCTGGAGCTCATGAATTATTCATATTCAATTATTTTTCATATTCGATAATCAATTTTGCGATAAAATCACCACTCTTTAATACTCAACTTATTCAATGATATTTAAAAGTGACAAAAAGACCAGGGAATATGTCCTAGGTCCCTAAATGAGTATTAAAATTTAATAAAGCTTGACAATAAAATATTTTCAGGTATGAGGGCATAGAATTCGTGTCATTTTATAACCATAGTTGTCATATGGGACAATTACTGAAGGCAGGTAGCCCCACCCTTTATTTTTACATCAAAATAACTGATTACGAATTTATATGGTTTTTATTTTTAATATAATCCAAAAACATTGAGGATTCAAAGGAATTAATTTTCCGTGTTCATTTAATTCGCTTTATAACTATAAATATTTAATAGAAGTCAATGGTTGCTTTAATTTCAATTAATACCCGCACTATTATTTTGCGAAATTCGATTATTTGAATCATGATTTTGCTCTTTCAAACAAACGATGGCTTATGCTTTTTGAAATTTGTTAAGATTGTTAAGATTAGCATTGAATGCACAACAAGCGGCGTTACGTTTAACTTCACTCCAACTGAACTATATTTAAAAGCGGAGGAATATCATGTATCACAAATACATGAGAATTTACTCATGTACGTTGCTTTAACTACACGTATAAAAGTGCGCTTTTTTTTTTCTTTTAAATCAAACAAAAATTTATAATACTGATTTTTATATTTACGTAATAAAAAAATGAATATGAAAAATAGTGAAAGTGCTAATGCAACAGAAATCATTAGAATTTGATTTTAAAATTAACAATTGAAAAAAAAACAAGGGTTAAGAAGACAAATTACTAGTATGGTACTTCTTTAACATTATATGTTGGGATTTGCCCCGGGGCTAGTGATTATAAAATCACCCTTTTCCCCTTTTCAAGGCAGCGACTATTTCTTCTTTTCTTTATTTGAGAAAACCACCCAACTAGCTCACGGAACGTCAGTGGTTCTATCCAGGTTCCCGCTCGTGCTTGAAATAAAGAACGGAAGGGAAATAAAGAACGGAAGGTCACCTAAGGTCTTCGTCTACCATTAAAGCTGGAAAGTCGCAAAATGAATTCTGGTGCGACATATAAGCCAACCATAAAATAAATAATTGAATAAAACCATTTAGGAATCGATACCTTAAGCTATTAAACCGATTTGGCATTGAAATGAGAATTTACATAAAGATGTGACTTTTTTTGCAAAAAAAAAAAGCTCTTCTACTTATAATACATATAATACCATAACATATAACAACACCATTAATAACTGTGCCTGTACTGTCATCAAATTGATAACAAAAAAACAATGCATCATAAGACAGAACACCAATCAACAACAACAAAAAGAAATCACTGACTTTGTAAAATTAGTATAAGTATAGAGCAAAGGCCAAAGACAGAGAGCTATTTTCAAGAAACACTTGTTAAAATGTATTCAGCATTCAAGTGATAGGTTAAGTAGCGGAAACACAAAATAAAATTTTCGTTATAAACATGTTTATCCTATGTGACACGCGTGATCTAATTTGTAGAAAAAAATTCACTTAAGAAATGCTTTAAAGGAAAATATATGGTTTGTAAGTCAAGTGTTTTAGTATACGACGTAAAAAACAAAAGTGTTGATAATGTTTTCTATGTACTAAATATAAGACAAAATGTGGTGATGGAAATTTGTCTCAAATACCTTACGATTGTACGGTGGCGCAGAGGCGACATGTGTATTTTAAATTCATCTCGTGTACACGAGATACCATGTCGAGCCCACGAGTTGTGCGCACGATATAATAAAGTCGTGCACACGAAATTCTATGTCGTGTGCACGAGCTAATTTAGTCGGGCAAACGAGATTCTATGCCATACGCACGAGATACTATGTCGTGCGCATAAGATACTATGTCGCGCGTACGAGATAACTTAGTCATGTGCACGACTTACTGTGTCGTGGGAAAGTGTAATTATGTCTTGAGCATGAGTTACTATGTCGTACCAACAGATAATTAGCCAATCAGAATACACCTAACATACACAAATGTTGTTAGTTAAAAATAGCTGAAGGCTGAAACTATTTTATCTTAAACATAATTATCTCGTTCACACCACATTGTTACTCGTGTGCATGACTTAATTATCTCGTGCATACGACTTAGCAACATGTGCATACGACATAACAGCTCGTGCGCACGACTTAATTTTCTCGTGCGCACGAGATAAATAAAACACACACACACACATGTCACCTCTGTGTCACCGTACATTTGTGGTTATTTTTCTTGACCCAACTCTGAGGCAGAGATCAACAACCATTATAGCTGACAAAGCGGGATCACCTTAAATTGTTTTATTTAAATTTCTAACGCAATTGTTTTTTGTTTTCGTTTAGTTTAATTATGTGTAACATAGCTTATATCATTTGTTAATCCTCGTGAAATTGCTTTTTGGAAATACCAAGTTATTTCGATTTGGACCAGAGTTTACATGACTGAACAGAAAAGCATTAAACTGAACATAACAGCATTAAACTGAACAGAAAAGCATTAAATTGAACAGAAAAGCATAAAACTGAACATAAAACTGAACATAAAAGCATTAAACTGAACAGAAAAGCATAAAACTAAACATAAAAGCATAAAACTGAAATAAAAGCATTAAACTGAACAGAAAAACATAAAACTGAACATAAAAGCATAAAACTGAACATAAAACTGAACATAAAAGCATTAAACTGAACAGAAAAGCATAAAACTAAACATAAAAGCATAAAACTGAAATAAAAGCATTAAACTGAACAGAAAACTGAACATAAAGCATTAAACTGAACAGAAAAGCATAAAACTAAACATAAAAGCTTAAAACTGAACATAAAAGCATTAAACTGAACAGAAAAGCATAAAACTGAACATAAAAGCATAAAACTGAACATAAAAGCATACACTGGCTGTAGTCCGATTAAAGAAAATTTTAGCGTCAAACATTGCAACACAAGTTATTTTTACATTTTTGGTCTGCTATATACATCATATAAAACAAGTAAAAACTCTAAAAAGTCTAACCATGGCAACCAGAAAAAATTGTCCATTTTCAAAACGCCGTCGCCACAAATATACCGACAAAGGTAAACCATGCGCGTTTCACATCTAGTGAATAGTGATAGTTAAAACTTGTTTGTAATTACAACAATTTAAAAGTCGTTTTAGTTGATAATTGTATTCTAAAGATTGTATCGTCAGCTCTGTTCTGTTCTAAGATTAACCACAGAATTAAATGGCATGGGGGTCAATTTTATAGATCGGCAAATGTACGTAATAAATGTAACCATAACATACAAAAATACAAATGAAATTAAAAATAAATAATGATGATGATTGCCAAACATCTGCAAAAACAATTATGATAAGAAAATAATATTCATATGATAATAATGATAAAAACGATTTCAACAACAACAACAACAACAAAAATAAATAACAACAATTATAACAACAAAACTAGAATGATAAGATATTTATAATGATAATAATAATAATAATAATAATAATAATAATAATAATAATGAAATAATAGTAATGAAATAATTGAAACAATAAGCAATGATAATATTAATAGCACTGAAAAATAAAAAAATGATGATAATGAAATAATAAGATCTTAATGAAAATGATAATGAGACGACATTAATAGAATGAATGCAGCCAGAACAACAACAACAATGTCAAATATTGGTAATTGATAATTGACATATTAAATTATGGTGGTAATAGTAAGAAAATCGATAATAATTCATGATAATGATTATTATAAAATATTGCTAACAATGAAAACAAAATGATAATAATAACATTAATGTTTGTTATAAAATACTGATAGGAATGGAAACGAAATGATAATAATAATGATGATGATGATGATGATGATAATGATGATGATGATGATGATTATGATGATGATGTTGCTGATGATAATTGATAATGATGATAATGATAATAATAATTATAATGAAATGATATAAAAAATGTTCATAATGATGATAATAATAAAAAAAAGATAATAATAATACAGTAATTTCAAAAACAACATCATCAACATCAAATGATAATAGTTCACGATTACTATAAAATACTGAAAGAAAATGGAAACAAAAACGAAATGATGATGATGATGATGATGATGTTAATAATAATTATGATAATAATAACTATGACGATGACGACGACGACGACGATTATGATAAAATAATTATAATATTAATAATAATAATAATAAAACAATACATAATTTCAACAACATCATCAGCATCAAATAACTGTTATAATCATGAAAACAAAACGGAATAATAATGAAAACAGAATAATAATAAGAACGGAATAATAATAATAACAATAATAATAATAATAGTTTCAATAGTTATAATAATAATTATTAAGAAATTATGATGCTAATAATGATAATAATTCATGATAAGAATAAATAATTGAAGACAATTATGATGATAATAATGATTGTTGGCGACGATGACAATTTTTCTGTAAGTGATTTTGTCTATATTGGAAAGTCTGTAATACATTTAATAATTACTGCGGTAGAATTTAGTATACACAACAAACGAATTGTATACATGGATGCTGTTTGCAAGTATGAGATACATGATCCGATAAACCCCTTTATTTATATAGTAGATAATATATAGTGTTCTAGAATGAAATTTTATCATTCATCATATAAATGTTATAACTTTATCAATTAGAACTTTATCAACACTTGATCGTCTAGTGTTTTTTATTAGGATAATCAAAATGACACATTTCTATTGTTGTTTTTTTTTCAAATTTTGAAACATTTCTTGAAAAAGTAATTCACTTAAAGGGAGAGTAATGTGGTGTATTTAAATTACATGCCGTGCTGGAAGAGTTACACAACCTTCTATCACATTTCCATGTGTATTAGCTCATGTGCAATTCCTTGTTAAGATTTTTTCCATGTTTTGTTCTGTTTTAATTGTTGTCACATGATTATCATTTTCAATCACTTTTTTCTATCAAGTGTCCTGTTTTTACTCGGATTCTATATATTTTTATTATTCTTTTTTGTTCATTTTAGCTGTTGATGTAGTAATTTAAATATATTATTTTTTTTAATATTTATATTTCACAATTTTTACATATATATTACTGCGAGCTGAACAATTGCAATTGCGTGGCATTTTATAATGTTTCGTGAAAATATATTCCATATTTCACAAAAACGACAATATATACTCTTAATATTTCATGGATAAAATGAAATTAAACACTATTTAAATTGATCATTTTGTCAGTTCGAAACGCCGACAAAGTAAAAATATCGCAGCATTTGTAAATAAATGACAGTAATATCAACGACGGAGGGCGTTATTCACAGAAGAAAAAAATAACTGGCATTCAAGTGGTATGTAAAGTAGCGGAAATATGTTTTCATTACACTTAAGTCTTTTTGTCTCCAAAAAAACCCCAACTATTTTGTTAAATCAAGTATATAGTGTCGCATGTAAAACCATAAGAGTTGATCTTGTTCGTTTTAATATACATTTCATTCGAAAGGACTAATATAATGATGAAAATTTGTCTTAAACATCATGTTTGTGCTGGTATTGACAGCATCGGCGGCCGTAGATGCTAATGTGAGGAGAAAATTAACCGTGCTCGAAAAACGAATTGGCTTGGTAGAATTTCGTATGAATAACGATAACGAACAGGCAAATGAAATGTTTACAACGTTGCAACAAAATTACGAGGAGCTAAATGATTCTGTGCATCATCTAAAGGATCAGAAGTGTCCTCAAAGCATGAATGGGGAAGAAAAAGGAGATGGAACAAATATGTATAAAAAAGATATCATTGAAATGCAGACACAAAGTCAAATGTTGGTGTCGCTTGGAATCGAAAGCGAGAAAAAATGGACCAGGGATCAAGTTGGAAAACTTACCAATCAGTTAAGTGAGAATACCGATTTGTTAAAGAGGCAGTGTTCAGATCTTTCAAATCAGATACATTTACAAAATGATCAGGTGACAAAAAACTATTCAAGACTCAAGGATATGAATGACGCTATTGTCAAGAAAAATGAACAAATGGAAGATCAAATGAATTTGAATCTCAAGAGGATAGAAACACAGCAGAAAGAAATAGAAACATTAAAGGACATCTTGGCTAAAATAAACAGTACTTTATATTCTACAACACCAACAACGACACATGTACAAACAACGACACCTAAAACGACAACTTTTATTTGTCCAATGGGTTGGATACGTTTCTCAGCATATTGTTATTTGCTTGTAAATGAGAAGAAGAATTTCTATGAAGCACGTGCTAATTGTGAATCTGTCGGGGCATCTTTGGCAGACTTTACAAGTCAAACAGAAAATTCTTTTGTCGCTGAAAAGTTACAGATCGGTTCGAACACGTGGATTGGATACTCTGATGAGGAGACAGAAGGAACATGGGTTTCATTGAGAACAGGTCAATCTGCTAGATTTACGTATGTACTTATTTAAAATTATTTTATAATGTTTTCAATGATAAAACGCTTCCATAACTAACTTTCTAACACAGTTTGGTTCATTAATTGTTGAGTAAATTTTTCTTCTATCAAACATGGCTGTAACGTTTAACTTCCGAGTACATTTTTCAACGATCGAACATTACTGGTAACATTTACTCCTAAGCACATTTTCCTTTTATCTAGCGTAACCGGACTCATTCACTCCCTTGTTAATTTTTTTCTGCTTTTCAACATAGCTCTTTTTCATTTACTTCCGAGTACATTTTCTACTTTCCAACAAGGCTGGATTTATTTACTACCGAGAACATTTTTATAGTATCAAACAGAGCTGGTTTCATTTACCCCCGAGTAGATCTTTATAGTATCCAACATAGCTGGTATCATTTACTTCGTAGTATCAGACATAGCTGGTATCATATACTCCAAAGTAGATTTTTGTAGTATACAACATAGCTGGTATCATTTACTTCTGAGTAGATTTTTGTAGAATCCAACATAGCTGATGTCATTTACTACCGAGTAGTTTTTTTATTGTATCCAACATAGCTGGTATCATTTACTCCAGATTATATTTTAATTGTATCCAACATAGCTGGTATCATTTACTTCTGAGTAGATTTTTGTAGAATCCAACATAGCTGATGTCATTTACTACCGAGTAGTTTTTTTTATTGTATCCAACATAGCTGGTATCATTTACTCCAGATTATATTTTAATTGTATCCAACATAGCTGGTATCATTTACTCCCGATTAGATTTTTATTGTATCCAACAAAGCTGGTATCATTTACTCCCGATTAGATTTTTGTAGTATACAACATAGCTGGTATAATTTACTCCCAAGTAGATTTTTGTAGTATCCAACATGCTGGTATCATTTACTCCCGAATAGATTTTTGTAGCTCCAACATAGCTGATACCATTTACTCCCGATTAGATTTTTATTGTATCCAACATAGCTGGTATCATTTACTCCCGATTAGATTTTTGTAGTATACAACATAGCTGGTATCATTTACTCCCAAGTAGATTTTTGTAGATCCAACATAGCTGATACCATTTACTCCCGATTAGATTTTTATTGTATCCAACATAGCTGATACCATTTACTCCCGATTAGATTTTTGTAGTATACAACATAGCTGGTATAATTTACTCCCAAGTAGATTTTTGTAGTATCCAACATAGCTGGTATCATTTACTCCCGATTAGATTTTTATTGTATCCAACATAGCTGGTATCATTTACTCCCGATTAGATTTTTGTAGCTAAAACATAGCTGGTATAATTTACTCCCAAGTAGATTTTTGTAGTATCCAACATAGCTGTCATTTACTTCTGTAGGTCATTTACTTCTGATAAGATTTTTATTGTATCAAACATAACTGGTATCATTTACTCCCGATTAGATTTTTGTAGTATACAGCATAGCTGGTATAATTTACTCCCGAGTATATTTTTGAAGTATCCAACTTAGCTGGTGAGGTTTTCGCTGGAAAGTCGCCATATGATTTATACTGTGTCGGTGTGACGTAAAACCTAAAGAAACAAAACACATAGCTGGTGCCATTAATTCCCGAGTATTTTTTTCTGTTGTTTTCTATTATTGTATCCAACAAAGCTGAACACCTTTACTCCCAAATACATTTTTTCTACTATTCAACTTAACAGGACGCATTTACTCACGAGTATATTTTACTACTATCAAAAAACTGGCATCATTTGTTACTCTTTGGCTTATACCAAAATGAACTTAAAAAGAATAACCAAAGACTGTGGCTTCTCTTCTGATCACATCATGTTTGTCACAACAATTACAATGCAACGCGGAAAGATACACGTGATCTGAGAAAAACAACACATTATATCGACTGAATACTATTTATTTTATAATTTTGAATGAATAACTAATTTATCTGTGAAAATGATATTTTGATAATTTCACAGAGAAAATCATTGCCATGTATAGATGATTGTGACTGCTTAAACCAGAGCAATTGAGCTTGGACGGTAGCATGGACCACTTCCGTCCATGAACAGGTTATATTCTGCAATATTATCACTTTTGCCGTTGAAGGACTTCTTTAGGGATTCCATTGCTATGTTATTTAATTCTATCTGAGTCAAAGTCAAACTCTACCTATAATGATATACCGCTTATAACGATGCTGTTCACGCGGACCTGTCACTCAAATTGGTTGCCTCGTGGATTTAACAATATCAGAATATATCGATATAAATTTCGGCGGTCCCTAAGAATATCATTATACGCAGAGTTTACTGTATAAAATTACGTAAATCTACAGGGAATACTCGTTTTAATGTTAAATTGAGTAGAATAAAATTGATAGATGATGGACGGCATGGGTAACGGAAACAGGTTTCAAAATTTACAGCAATACACGGCACTGTAAAATGTGGATCAACGTTCAGAGCAAAGATCATACGCAAAATATTACATCTGTGAATTAACAACACTCAAACTCGTCAACTCCATTATATGCAATTTTCAAATATAACAGTATGTACTAGTTATCATTAGGATACAGGAATATACCGTCTGAGAACGAAAATATTTTTGTTTTTTTCTTTTTTAACACCAAAAACGGTCAGGCCATGCTTTTCCCCACCCTATATATTAGATAAAGATTACTTTTTATTCACACACACACACAAAAAACGATTTCCCTTTCGCCTATTGCGAGATTTTCATTTTAATTATATAGATTTGTTAAAGTAAACGTTTAATTATAAGCCTTCT